TCTCCGTCGAGCACAGAGCACAGCAGGAGCTGCAGCTCTACTACATCGTGAGTGCTTAGCCTGCTGCTCCTTCCCACCTGCAGAATCTTCCTGCCCACGGAGGCACCCACGCTGGTGCAGGGCTCCTTGTCTAACCCAAACCTTTCCCCATCCCCAGCCAGAGAGGGAGGGGATGTTCCACCGTGGCTCAGGCCTGAACCTGACCAGCGGGCAGTACACAGCCCCCACCACGGGGTATTACATCTTCACCGCCACGCTACACATCGGTGAGCCCTCAGACACCCCCACGGCCCCACCGGGGAGTCCTGGGCCGGCTCTCAGCCTTCCATCTGTCCCAGTGCACAGACAGCAGCGGCGGAAGCCCCAGTGCGCAGACAGCGGCGGGGAAAGGGGCAGCCATGCAGGGGGAATCGTCTGCGGGTGCTGATTTGCGTGCAGTCCCGCTGCCAGCACAACAGGTACAGCAGGGCAAGGCCAGGGTGGGGAGAGGGACCCTGGGCACGGAGGGAGGAAGGAGCCCAGTGACCTCGGAGAAAGGAGGGACACGCTCCCCCCAGCACAACCCTCCCTCTTCTGCAGCAGTTTGGAGACCATGTCCCAGCTGGAGAGCGGTGGTGACCTTTTCACCATCTCTGTCACCGGCGTCCTTTACCTGCAGGTTAGTGGTGCCAGCTCCGCTCAGGACTGTGCCAGGCAGGAATGTGCCTTCCGTGGCCCCAGCTCCAGGGCTGGGCATTGAGGCTGCTTCTCAGCCCATCTCTGAGCCCAAAGGACACTCAGGGCTGAGGTCTGCAGGGATACTACAGCCCCTACCACAGCTGGGCTGCCCTACCACCCTCTCCACCGTCCTTTTCGCAGAAGGAAGGGGGGGCGAGCAGCCCCTCCCGCTCTCGGCTGCTGCGTGCAGGGCAGAGCTCTCCCCTCTGCTCTGCCAGGCTGTGCCCAGTGCCCAGAGCAGGTGTGCCAGTCCCGTTTAAGCCTTTCTCCTTCCAGGCTGGGCAGTATGCCTCTGTTTTCGTGGACAACGCTGCAGGCTCTCCACTCACCGTTCAAAGTGGCTCTGATTTCAGCGCCATTCTGCTGGGGGTGTGAAAACGCACTGGGCACCATGCAGGGAGCTGAACCTGTGCCAGGAGCAGCCAGACCCTTCCTTCTGCGAGCCACCATCACAGCTACCCTGCTCAGCACGAATCCCAGGCAAGACCTTTTGCTACTGCAGGAGCTGCGGGGTGGTCCAAAACTGCTCATGCCGCAGAACCACCTGAAGCTGGACAAAAGATGGGGGAGGAAAGGATGGTAATAATAATAATAATAAAGAAGCCTGACAAGGAGCTCAAGGAGTTTGCTGTTATCTAAAGGCGAGGGCTGGAAGTTTATCTTTGAAAACACTGCTGACAACAGTGACAGCCCCCACTGAGGTGCAGGGCTCAGCTCCCACTGTGCTGGGCACTGGTGCCTGGGACAAAGCCTCACACCTCCATTTTTTGCTCTCAGCAGATTTCCCTGCCCAGCTTCTCAGCAGCCCAAACCAGATGATTATTTGTATCGCTTTAGCTTCCCTGCCACTGTATTATCAGTGAATGTTTGCTGGCAGAAGCCAACGTCCTTCGCAGCTAATCTTCAAAGCAGAGCAGTGTCCTGATAGTGCCACACATTTGATTAAAGCAAATTCCCGTCCCGTGGCTTTCCACGCCAGGCGTTCCCTGCCCATGGCACAGGGCCCAGGCCATGGGCAGCACAGATACGCTCTGTGCTTCGGCCCCGATAGCCATCTGAGCCGAGGACATGCACAGGGCTACGTGCCTCAGCGAGGGCTGCAGGAGAGGTACCCGGGCAAGCTGCGTGTGGGGCAAGGGAACCGCACGTTTTATTTCTTTAGTAGCACGTAGCACTGGGCAAGCTGTGCCAGCAACACTGTGAGATAGCCCGAACTGCACCCAGCCCCACCTTCCCCAAGGGATCCACGCATGTAGGCAGCAGAGGGGCAGTCCTCTCACACTGGACCTCACTCACGAGGGCTTTCCTGGCCGTGCCTGACCTTCACAGGTTTGCGTTCACAAGGAGCCCGGTGAAGTAGCTGTTGCTGCAGCTCTTCATGGGTTGGGGGTGTTTGGATCCGGGGTGGGGGGCTCTGGCTGTGCAGTTCTAATGCTGACTTCTTCCCCAAGGCAAGAGAACTTGTCTCTGAAAGGAGACAACTCTTTTTACCCAGCTGAAGAGCTGGCAGGAGCATCCTGGCAGAGACAAGGCCTCTGCAGCTCCTGCCCAGCTGAGAGCTCGGCCCAGGTAGCACCTCTCCGTCACCACATGTGACTGAGCCAAGGCAGCCTTGCTCAGGTCAGCCACCTTCCCTTCCTACCAAGCACACCTGCGAAGATACAAAAGGACTCACTGTCGGAGAGCGGGGCTTGTTGAGCCAGTAAGCTGCCCTCTGCGAGGAAGATATGAAGAGCCCAGTGCACTTGAACACAAAATTGACAGAGCTGATTTAAGTCAGCGCTACTGGTGGGCTAATCTAGGAGTTGGGAGGGGGCTAGAAGCTCAGTCAGCCCCAAGGGACGGGAGCTTGCATATACAGAACATCTGCATGGGCCACCCCAGGGGGTGGTGCCAGAGCTCCCCACAGTAGCAGGATGCTGCTGAGCAATGAGGTAGAGAGGGTTTATTTTCAGGAAACCTCTTGCAGGTGGTACAAGCAGACATTTTTTTGACTTCCACTAAAGCTGGGGTTGAACCTGCCTTTCTAACTGGCTGGCTACTCACAAACATGGAGAAACCTGCTCCACAGTGCTTCCTTTTCCCCTTTGCCGTAAGAAATGGACAATATGATCCATTTTATGGAAATTGTTATTAACTCTACCATAACACTGTGTTATGTAATATGTTCCTAGCTGGAGTTGTGCTTTCAGTACTCTTTCTAAAGCGAAGAAAAGAAGAGTTGTAAGAGCAGGGAGGGGAAGAGAAGACAGAGATAGACAAGCTGATACTTCTCTCACCAGCTCTTGTGCTGGAATTAACAGGGGCCTCTTGGAGGGAGCACCAGACACAGACGGGTGCTTGGCTCAGCTCTGACAGCACAGCACACAGCTCTCCCCAGCACAAGAGCTGTGAAAAGCAGGAAGGTAAGAAGGAAGGATGAGCTGCTGTTCTGAGATCTGACATCAGGGTTTCTTTTGCCACAGACTAAAGAAAATCTGTGCCACTCCATCTTGGCCCTCCAAATTCTGCTTTCAAGAGCAGCAGTAGCAGAGCGTGTTATTAACATGGGCGATTCCCTCTCAGCTCATCCTGCAGTGCAACCTTGTATCAGTGTATGCAGGAATGGTTGGGAGCAGATCAAGCTGGCAAAGGCAAGCCCAACCCAAAATACGTGCCCAAGGCCCGCTTCCTTCCTCAGCGGCTGCAGGAGATGCAGAGAGTTAGTGCAAACTAAGCCGAGTTAGCCTAACCATTAGCATAAGCCCATGAACTTTAACTGACTTCTGCTGTAGCAGAAATATTGATGAAAGATGGTCAAGCCACCTGTCCCAAACCACAGGATAGTTTTTGCATGCTCAAGAAAATAGATAGCCCAGGATCTGGGACATTCTCCCAAAGCTCCAGGGAACACAGGGAACAGAAAAGAGCCCGGGAAGCCTCACAACCCTGTGCAGGACTATGCACAAAACAGCAGGCACCACTACACTAACCTGCCCAACCTCTCGCTGGGACTGTACCATTTCTCATGCAGAACAAGGAGGTCATGCAAGAAACCACTCACAGGCCCACTGTCTCACCTCCCTCACTGAACAGTCTCACCCACAGGACAGTAAGTTGTGTAATCTGGAATTTAAGCACTTTGGTAGCCCAATTCTTTTAGCTTTCACACTATCATTTGGTCTTAAGCCAAATTTTCTTCAGAAAACAGCACACCAACTCTCTGCAGCGACAGCTGGTAGAGGAATGAAGTCAGGATGAGATACCAGACACTTAATAGCAACAAGTACCTAAAACCTGAGATGCCTGCTCCTCAGATAGCACAGACAAGCATAGAGCCTGCCCTCATCTCAGCTGCCTGGCAGGTCCATTTGCTGAAAACACTTTCCCAATAAACATCAGGAGCAAACTCCATGCACTTTTGCCATAATCAACGACTGGGATAAAACCCCAGTGTTTTCTGCAAGCAGAGGGAAGGTACACCAGCTCTGCGAGAGGTGTTTGTATCACTCATCTGCATGCAACCTCACAACCCAGCTTCAGAACCAAAAGATTTCCTTCCCAGCACTAAGAGGACAGCCCACACCACATCCCAAGCCAGTGGCCTGGGGTACAGCACAGTCCATACGGTACAGCCCAACTGCGAGCTCCCACTGAGTCCTAAGAGCTCAGGACTCTCCCAGGGCCTCACACAAAGCTCAAGGAAACGAACAGCAGAACTGCACCATTTGGAACAGCTGGCAGAGTTCATGCCCACAGATGCCTGCTCTTGCTAGCACCTCTGCCAAATGGATTTATTTGGTTTGCCAAGACATTCACAGGGGTTTGACAGGACAAGAGATTTCCGCAAAGGCGGAGCCACTGTGGCAGCCACTTAGAAAACACTGCTGGCCAAGTGAGCTAAAACTATTAGAAAAAAAAAAAAACAAACCACCAAAATTTTATTTACACCGAAGAGCATCCAGCAGGACCCACCCTCCCCCAGCCACACGTGCACGCACACCAACTTCTCCCTTCCCTTACATCCGCCGCGAGCTGGGGATCCTGCTGCTGTGCCTCATCTCTCAGTGCTCTATCCGGACCACCATGACCGTGACGTTGTCCGCCGACCCTCGCTGCACTGCTTTGTTGGCCAGTCTGTTACATGCAGCTTCATATCTAGTATCTGCTTCTAGCTTCCCTTCTCTTGTCTGGATGTTCTTATCCTGTTGGGACGACGAAAAACAACACTGAATGCTCCCAGCAAAGCACATAGGTGCAAGCACACGGGGAAGCAAAACAAATAAGGACGACCCCAGGTGTAAGGAAGGATACCCTGGCAGAAGTACATTACTGCAAGTCAGAGTCATTCCATTTTGTACCCCCTGCACTTGACAAACCCAGCCTCCATGCTGCCTTCTCCTCACCTCCAGGCAGGACACAATGAAGTTCACAGCTTCTTCTGGTGTAAAGACTTTAAAAAGGCCATCACACGCTATAAGAATGAACCTGGAAATCAAGCAGAGACAGGTTCCAAGGCTGAATCTTTGGCTCCCCAGCTACAGCAAAATCCCTCTGAGCTATTTTATGAGTACCCACACTTCAATCCAAAGGGAAGATACTGTAAAGCTCATCTGAAAATCCCTCAGAAGCACCAGAAGTCCTCTGGTGCTCAAGAACCTACCATTCATGGAGCTGAGGCAATTCAAAATACAGGCCAAAGAGCCAGGCAAACAATGTAAGACCTACATCAGGACATACAGGCAGTCCCACTGACACTGCACCATTAGGCAAGACCATAGACCACACCCTGCTGGAAAGCTACATTACTTCCCTAGGAAGTGCTTCTTTCCTTTGAGTCCTTTTCATCCACGTATTTTCCCTGTGAAGTAGCTAGTTCAAGGAAGTAAACACAGCCAGCTTAATACCTTATGTGCATCCCTTTAAATCCTTTATATTTCCGTGATCCTGAGGTATGCGATAACTTAATTTGAATAGAAATATTCAAAAGAAAAGTGAGCAGCTTAACCCAGCAATAGAGGCATAACTGTGATCAGAAAACTCTGACACAAGGTACTGTCGCAGGCTGCATGCAGTAGGTTGAGGGGATACAAAGCCCAAGGCAGGGACAGCTGCCTCCTAGCTCTCCACCAGAGACAGCCTGCTGTGCCCTCCCTGCCTGCACAGGGGATTGTATTAACCAGGAGCCCTAACCAGAGTCACTGGACAAGGAAAACTACAATCATCAGAGGCTGGCCAGCCTGCCAGAGCAGCACATGTCTCTGAAGACATCGTTCCACATTCTGATGCTTATAATATCTTTAGAAATATTTTAGTGATACGGAACTCTAATCCCAGAAAAAGCAGCCGTAATAAGTTACATTCTCACCTCAGAGGGGTTGCAGGGCCATGCTGAC